GTTGCTGCTGCTGCATCAAACTGCGAAGAGTTAGCAGCAATGCAGCTGCAGCAACAGCTGACTACAGCTATCAGCGGCTCCCCCCAGTGCAGCCTGTAGCTCCTAAACCCTAAACCCTAAACCCTAAACCCTAAACCCTAAGCCGTAAACCCTATCTTCTATAAGTAGTAAAAAAAGAGTTTTTGTGTTGAATAGTAGAGTCGCTGAAATCTCAGTGTATTGCTTTGAGGGTTTGATATACAATGAGGGTTTAGGGTTTAGGGTTGAGTGTTAGGGTTTAGGGTTTAGGGTTAAATACCTCATGTGCAGTCTTTCCTTGCATAGCATTGATAAGAGCACTTAGCACCTCTTCATCTACATCTCCGCCTACAGCTTGAATTGTTTTTGAGACATCTTTGGCTGTGGGGGCTTCGTTGCCTCCGAGGACGTTCATAAGATATGCAGCAACGTATTTCATGCTCATCTTCCGGAAAGCAAATGAAGAGGCAATTATAAACAAAAACTAAAATAAATATGCTGCAAATCACAAAGATTTAATTCTGCACAGCCTTATCTATACCCTACTTCTTCATCTACAGACAGCAGCCCCCCACGCACGCAGCCAAGCCCGTCATCATGCTGCGAGTGGGGCTGCTGCTGCTGCTGCTGCTGCTGCTGCTGCTGCTGCTGCTGCTGCTGCTTCCCCTGCTGCCGCTTCTGTTGCAGCTAGTTGATGTATATTTGTGTGTATTTACTGCTGAATATGAAGATATTTTTATTTAAAAATAAAATTAATTTAATATGAATACTCTTTAATCCTTCAGCATATATATAAACAGCAGCTAACTCAGCTTCTACCTTCTTCAGCTGTAGAGGCTGCTTGCAGCAGGGGGCTGTATCTGCAGCAAAGTTAAATGATATTATAAATTAATTAATAGAAAGAAAGAGAGATAAAAGGAGGTTAAAGTAGGACAATAAATATATTAATCAAAGGGTAAAGAGCAAAACAAATCGAATATATATATATATATATATATGTATATATATATATATATTTATATTCATCTCTTAAGTGCAGCAGCAAGAAGGCTGATACAGCAGATTACTCAGTATGCTGCAGCAGCAGCAAACCTCTCTGTCGCGCAGCAGGTGCAGCAGCAAGCCTCTCTGGTGCAGCTGCTGCTATAAGGCAGCCCTTGTAAAAGAGCATACAGAGGCCCTTCTGTTTGAAGGTGCATCAGCTGCTGCTGCTGCTGCTGCTGCTGCTGCATTTTGATTATATATTTGTTTATTAATAAATAATAAACAAATTAACATGATAAACGCATCTGCAGTTGCTGCTGCTGCTGCATCATCTGCTGCTGCAGTGAAATCCTCTAAGCCAAAGAAGAAGGCAAGAGAGACTGCATGCATGCATTTATTGCGTATACACCTGAATAATGCATCATAAGAGATGTTCATGCATGCATAAATACATTTGCAAGCTTCAGCCAGAAGATATAACAAAAGAAGCTGCTATATCTTCTGATAACAAACTGCTTTAAAAACAGCAAACAAGTCATAGCAGCATTTTGATTATATATTTGTTTATTAATAAATAATAAACAAATTAACATGATAAACATTTCTATTGTATATTTACCTCTGATAGATATCGCTTCTTCTTAAAGAAACAGCAAATGCTGCATTAACAAAATATAAATAAATATTTAAAGATTTCTTAGCAATATATATATATATATGCATGCATACATATATATATATATTTATATTTATATATTTATATATATGTTTAATAAAAAATAATATATGCATGTGCTCGTCTAAATCTGCTGTCTTTTGTTTAAAACTTAAAAATATATATATTGAGGTTTGTCAAAGGGCGGCAAAATATATTAATATATATAAAAGCGTTAAGATTAATTAAACAAACAAATGCAAATAAAAATAATATAACTACAAGCAGCATTATTTTGTCTGTGATGTTGAATAGCAAAAACTTAAAGAAATATACTAAATAAATATATAACGCAATAGATAGGCTTTTATTATTATTATAACAGTATAATAACATATAAAGACTACAGGAAAACAATTGTTTAATATGAAAACTTTACAGATAAAATAAATAATATTATGTAATTATATTTATATATATATATCGTTAATTTGCATGCATGCAGGGCTAACTTTACTTTTCATTATATGCAGAGTCTTTTATCTAAGAAAGGCAGCATTTATGATTTATAATTTATAATACTTGAACGTATTATACAGTTAATATCTTTATTTTAATATTTATATTAGCTGTATAAATAAGAAAAAAGCAAACATTTATATGATATGTCTTTCAGCTATATATAATTAATATCTTACATCGCGCTGTTCATTAGTTAGTCTCTACATTGAAATGCATTATTATTTTATATACTTATATTTATATTTATATTTATATTTATAATTTATTATTTATTATTTATATTTATATTTATATTTATTTTGCTGTTTGTTTTGTTTGTGTTTGTAAGGGCCTGAAGAGCAGTCAACAATAGTTTAGATAATATGAAAGAAAGAAGAGATATAAATAAATAAATAAATAAATTAAAATATAAATAAATAAATTAAAATATAAATAAATAAATAAATAAACAAGTTAATAAAACAAATAAAACAAATGAAGAGGAGGGAAGACGAGCAAAGCGAGAAGAAAAAGAGACAGACAAATAAAGAAAAGAGACAGATTATGCAGCTCCTTAGGAGGCTACTGTCTCCTTAAGAGGCTACTGTCTCCTTAAGAGGCTACTGTCTCCTTAAGGGTCTACTGTCTCCCTAGTAGGCTACTGTCTCCTCAGAAGGAGACAGTAGTCTCCTTAGCAGCTCCTTAGGAGACTACTGTCTCCTTAGGAGGCTACTGTCTCCTCGGAAGGAGACTGTCTCCTTAGGAGGCTACTGTCTCCTTAGGAGCTCCTTAGGAGGCTACTGTCTCCTTAAGAGGCTATTGTCTCCTTGAGGGGCTACTGTCTCCTTAGGAGGCTACTGTCTCCTTAGGAGGAGGTAGTAGCCTCCTAAGGAGCTCCTTAGTAGGCTACTGTCTCCTTAGTAGGCTACTATCTCCTTAGGGGGCTAGGAAGCCTCTTGTCTGCGCAAGGGATTGTTTCTAGAGAGCTGTCTCTAGAGAGCTGTCTCTAGATAGCTGTCTCTAGATAGCTGTCTCTAGAGAGCTGTCTCTAGAGAGCTGTCTCTAGAGAGCTGTCTCAAGAGGAGACAGTCCCCCTTAGAACAGCAGCTTCTCTAGAGGAGACAGTCTCCTTAGAAGACTGCTTTCCCTAGAGGAGACAGTCTTCATCACAAGAGAGACAGTCTCCTTAGACGACTAGTTATTCATTAAGAGACTGTCTCCTTAGAAGACTGCTTTCTCTAAAGGAGACAGTCTCCTCAGAAGACTACGCTTTCTAAAGGAGACAGTCTCCTAGCTCTTCATGAGGAGACAGTCTCCTCACAAGACAGACAGTCTTAATCAGAAGACTCTCTATTGATAAGGAGACAGTCTTTATCAGAAGACTCTCTATTGATAAGGAGACAGTCCTTATCAGAAGACTCTCTATTTATAAGGAGACAGTCTTTCTCAGAAGACTACCTTTTCATTCGGGTCGATCCAGCTGATGACTTTTAGGTTCGGAGTATTGTGCACTGTTACGTCGACGTCAACCCTCTTGGGGACAGGGTCCCTGCAATTAACCCCACAGGCACAGCAGATAAATAGCTAGCTAGCTAGCTAGCTAATCTAGCTAGCTAGTTAGCTGGCTAGCTAGCTATTTATCTATCGATCTAGCTAGCTATTTGTCTATCTATCTAGCTAGCTAGCTTGCTAGCTACCTATCTACGTGCTTCGCTGTCCAGGTAGCTAGCTAGCTAGCTAGCCACCTATGGTCTGCTGCTACAGCTGCAGCACAACCTGGGCAGCAGCAGTAGCAGCAGCAGCAGCAGCAGCAGCAGCAGCAGCATACGAACGAATAGCTGAAGTGTGGGGCCCCACCGTTTAGCTGGGAGAGGAAAGGCTGAGAGACCCTCAACTTCAATGTGCTGTCGCATGACCCAGTCGAAGGTGCTCTTCCAGCCTGCAGCACGAACAAGACAGCAGCAGCGCTTTATAAACACATGCATGCAGCAGCAGCAAGCAAGCAGCAACTGCTGCTGCTGCTCCTGCTGCGGGTGCTGCTGCTCTTGTCCGCCCTACGCATGTGGTTTGCTGGCTAACTCCCTGGGCTAGCTCTCTAGCTAGCTAGCTAGCTAGCTAGCTGGGTGGGTACGCACCTTCGAATTTGTTTTCTTCTTGAGTGTCTATCTCCTCCGTGCCCATCTGATCGTAGCCTGCAGCGTTCATAGAAAGGAGACAGTAAAGAGACAGCGGAGACAGTAAAGAGACAGCGGAGACAGTAAAACATAAAGCGCAGCACTTCTTTCTTAAAGTCTAAGGCTTCACGTTATTGATAAGAAAAACAGCTTATAAAACAAAACAAACAGAGACAGACTGCAGTAAATATAAACCCACAGCATCACCCACAAAGAACAATAAAAAAAAACAAATATATATACACACAATTGCTGCTGCTGCTGCTGGTGCTGCAGGGTTCAGCAGCAGCACTTGTGCACAGCAAACAAAATATTTTGTCTCTTCAGCCACTTGTGCACAGCAAACAAAATATTTTGTCTCTTCAGCTGTCTCCTGTCTCCGCGCTGACCCTAATGAATTCTAAATTGCATCTTTAATCCCAAAAGAGTCTCCTTTCGTTGGCTGCCTCTAAGTTAACAAGCCCCAATCCGACAGCCCTATAGCTAGCTAGCTAGCTAGCCAGCTAGCTATATAGCTAGCCAGCAGGCTAGCTAGCTAGCTAGCGAAACGCAACGAGAACTAGCAAGTGTGATCCTTTGATAGCTAACCATTCCGCTAGCTAGACAGTTAGCCAGTCGTCTGGCTAGCCATCTAGCTACCCAGCTAGCTATACAACTACATAGAGTAGCTAGCTAGACAGTTAACTCGCCAGCTAGGTTGCTTCTGCCCCTTCCAGTTGATCTAGATACTGGGATGCATGCATGCACAGGCTACATGCATGCACAAGCTGCATGCATGCACAAGCTGCATGCATGCATGCACAGGCTACATGCATGCATGCATGTAGAGACAGTTTGTGTTGACTGACCCAGTTTTTGTTTGAAGACGACTTCCTTCATTTTAAGCACCGCCTCTGCTCTGGTTATTCTCCTCGTGGAGTCTGTAGCAAGCCTGAGAAAGACAGAAGAAGCTGCAATTAAATAAATAAATAAATAAATAGATAAATAAATAGATAAATAAATAGATAAATAAATATGTCTCTCTTTTAATTAATTAATTAATTAATTAATTAACGAGAGCAAAGAGAAATAATTAAAAAAGGAGACAGCAGAGAAAGGAGACAGAAAGAGACAGCTTTAAAGTTATTATAAATAAGATTGAGGTGTATACGCACCTATTATGTTGCAGAAACTGCAGCAGACTGAATTCTTTAATTATTTTTTTTACTGTTGTCTCCTTAAGACTGCAGCAAACATATTAATTATAAATAAATATGTATAATAAATAAATAAAGACATAAATAAATATATTAATTAGAGTTAAAAATTATTTTTTATTATATATACAAATACCCTCTTCTTATATTATAATATATGCATCGCCTAGAATGAAGATAAGCATTAACAACTCTCGCGACAGCATTCGTACAGCAATAATAAATAAATAAATAAATAAATAAATAAATAAATAAACAAATAAACACGCAAAGAGAGAAGCAGCAGCAACATAAAGAGTAAAGAGAATAAAAACAAGCAAAGATCTTCTTTAAAGAACAGAGATAGTAAGAGAGCGGATAAGTATATATATATATATATTATATAGATATTATATATATATATATATATATACATACGTATATATATATATATATATACGTATATACATATATATATATATATATAAAGAATACAGTAGATAGATAGTTGTTTAACTGAATGCATGCATGCATTAAAAAAAGTATAAATCTTTTCTTTGATTTTAATGCTGCATTACCCGTAGCGCATTGAAAGAGATAATATATTAAACCTTCGCGTATCAAGCTGTGATAAACAAAATATAAACTCTCTGAATAAAGGGTTTAGACGTCTATGAGGCGGTAAATATAAAGGAAAGACACGAGGTAATAGACAGTCTAAGCCTTCATCCTGCACAAACAAAACAAAAAAATAGCTGCGCATACACCCCAATATATTCATCATATATTCAGCTGCGCATACACCGCAACAAAATTGTAGAAGAGACAAAGACATTTTAAAAGCTGCTGAAATAAAAGGAGACAGAAAATGAAAGGAAAGAGAAATAATAAAAATAATAAAGACAAAAGGAGACACCTCTAAACAAATATATAGATGCAATGAAGAGACAGCTGAAGAGACAGGAAGAAAAAAGAAGAGACAGCTTAAGAGACAACTGAAGAGACAAAAGAAGAGATAAAAGGAGACAGCTGAAGAGACAGCTGAAGAGACAGCTGAAGAGACAGCTGAAGCGACAGCTGAAAAGACAAAGGAGACAGCTGAAGAGACAGCTGAAGAGACAAAAGGAGGCAAAGGAGACAACTGAAGAGACAGAAGAAGAGACATGGGAGACAGCTGAAGAGACATCTTAAGAGACATCTTAAGAGACAGCTGAAGAGACAGCTAAAGAGACAGCTGAAGAGACAGGTGAAGAGACAGCTGAAGAGACAGACGGAGACGAAGGAGACAGGTGAAGAGACAGCTGAAGAGACAGCTGAACAGCGAAGCAAACGCACCTTCCAGTACTGCATATTTTCAGCAGATGTTAGCGTGGGCCATCGATTGCCGCAAAAATCAAAATAACTCAAAAACCCGCTACAAGGCCGACTCAGAGGAGGCAGCCTGTACACCCCAAACCCTAAACCCTTATTAACCCTAAACCCTTATTAACCCTAATTAGCCCTAAACCCTTATTAACCCTAAACCCCAAACCCTTATTAACCCTAAACCCTTATTAACCCTAAACCCTTATTAACCCGAAACCCTAAACCCTAATTAATCCTAAACCCTAGTAAACCCTAAACCCTAATTAACCCTAACCCTTATTAACCCTAAACCCTAGTAAACCCTTAAACGTAATAAACCCTAAACCCTAATAAACCCTTAACCCTAATAAACCCTTAACCCTGGATTCTTCTCCTCAGACTCTATGACAGGCTCCTTTCACTTACAGCACAAGGCCCCAAACCTTATAGCCCTAACCTAACGACGCTTATCCCTAAACCCTAAACCCTAAACCCTAAACCCTAAACCCTAAACCCTACTTGTGAGCTCTTTTTTCTTCTGGACTCAGGGTGTCTTCCATTCTGAATTTATACGGGACGGTGTATCCAACAGAAGGCGACCTATTCTCTGGGTCTTTTGCTGCTGCTGCTGCTGCTGCTGCTGCTGCTC